ACATAGAGGTGGAGCAAGAGGAAGCGCCTCAGCAAATTCAAGAAGAGGAAGTTGAGGAACAATATGAAGATCAAGATGAAGGCGCCCCAGGCATGGCTTTGATGGAAATTGATGGTATGCAACTTTTACTTCCAAATTCCTTCCTTAACTTACCAGTAGATGTGACTACTTATAAAATTGGGCATGAATTGGGAGAAATCGAATTGCTCTATCTTAATAAAATTGCGTCTTAATTCCTGCCAATTTCACCAAATTTCGTTTTTTTATTACATATTTTTTAATATTCAACTGAAAGCTCCGGCTTATTCCATCCATTCTCAGATGTTCGGCAATCACAAGTAGTACTTCACGAGGATAAAAAATATTATCCAAGTGCTGAGGAAGTCTACGGACCTGAGGTTGAAACGCTGGTGCAGGAAGAAGACACGCAACCATTGTCCGAACCCATTATTGCCCCGATAAAAATAAAGAAATTCCAAATCACTGAAAAGAATTTACCAGAGACAAGATATAAGAAAGAGTAAGAATTCATTTCTTTGTTGGTGATTGAATTTTTGTTGTTGTGTCGAGAAAATTCGATTTTTAAGATGATGGTGGTATATGTAGATTTTTGGTCGATATGATGAATTTCCCCGAATTAGTGCGAAATATTGCTATCGTTGGTCATTTACATCATGGAAAGACTTCATTTGTTGATATGCTGGTCAATGAAACTCATTCTTCTGTCGCATGGGATGTAGATAGACAGGTAAACAAAATTTCTTGCAAATTAACCGTGATTTTTCGGACTGTATATCGATCTTAATTGTGTAGGAACGATACACTGATACGCACACTCTAGAAAGAGATCGTGGAGTCAGTATAAAGAGCATGCCGATGACACTTATTTTACAAGATACAAAGGGGAAATCTTATTTATTTAATATCATTGATACACCCGGTACTTTGAATTTTCTACTATTCTTTGAGCATTATAATTTTGTGAAAATCTTCTTTACACAACCTTTACAATAAACAGGACATGTTGATTTTGTGGATGAGGTGACTGCAGGACTTCGAATTGCCGATGGTGCTGTTATCATAGTTGACGCGATTGAAGGGGTAATTCTCAGTGACACTTCAATTTTTTATCTTCCCTTTCTCACTGATTTATATTTTTTAATTAGGTTATGGCTAATACGGAACGCGTAATACGGCATGTCATACAAGAGAAATTAGCATTTACATTAGTGGTAAATAAAGTTGACCGATTAATTTTGGAACTTAAATTACCACCTAATGACGCGTATTTTAAATTAAAACACACTATAGAAGAAGTCAATAGTATTATAAGGTTAGAAGATGCTTTTATCCAAAATTTTATTTCAAGTCTTTCATGAATATGGATGCTTATACGGTCTATGATAATAGTAAATGTGCACCAGGACAAAACCTCCGTGTCTCGCCTGAATGTGGAAATGTATGCTTCGCTTCTACTCAGATGGGATGGTGTTTTACGCTGAAATCTTTTGCTAAAATTTATGCAGACTCTTATGGTAGTAAAAATCATTTTGTTTTAAGATGTGTGCCCTATATGAAACACGTAATGATTGGCCAAATCCGCGCATATTTTTTCTTTAGGAGATATTAATCCAGATGATTTTGCAAAGCGTCTTTGGGGTGATATTTTCTTCGATGCTACAAAACGAACATTTACTCGTCGTTCGGTAGACAAGAGTATGCGATCTTTCGTATATTTTATAATGCAACCATTGTATAAAATTTATGCTCAGGTATAGGTCGTTCGCTTTCTTAAATCCTAAATAATATCTTAATAATCCAGAATATTAAAAATTTTTTAGGTTATTGGAGAGAACGAAAATACATTAAAAAAGACATTGGCTTCATTGGGTATAAACCTTAAAGCGTCACATTATAAATTGGATGTCAAGCCATTGCTACGAATAGTGTTGGATCAATTTCTTGGACCGGCTACTGGTTTCGTTGATATGGTCATTCAAAATATACCATCACCCGAAAAAAATGCTATCAATAAGGTTTGCTTTCACCCGATTTTGGTTGACTTTCACAAGCAAAAAAGATTCACAACTTAATTTTTTTAAATAAAGGTCGATAATATTTATACGGGACCAATGGATACTGAAGTTGCGGAAGCAATGAAAAAATGTGATTCTGATGGTCCGCTTATGATCCATATCACTAAATTATATAATTCTAGTGACGCGTCAACCTTTGACGCGTTCGGTCGTATTCTAAGTGGAACGGTACGAAAAGGACAATCTGTGAGGGTTCTTGGCGAGGGATATTCTATTGAAGATGAAGAAGATATGACAATACAAGATGTTAATAATGTCTGGGTGTTTGAATCAAGGTAAACCTTAACAGCTACGATTGTTTATGATCACAAAAAGAATCTTGGCTAATATTTTGTATAAATTGCAGATATAGGATAGAAGTAGACGGAGTACCCGCGGGTAACTGGGTACTTCTGGGAGGCATCGACAACTCAATAGTGAAAACCGCCACTGTAACAAACAAAAATGTAAAGGAAGATTTATATATTTTCCGACCTTTGTCATTCGTTACGACCGCTGTTCTTAAAGTCGCTGTAGAACCAGTTAATCCTTCCGAGTTACCGAAAATGTTGGATGGATTAAGAAAAATCAACAAAAGCTATCCGATCGTAATAACAAAAGTATGTATTCATACATAAAAATATTGAGATGTCGTTCTTAGTCGATTAACTTGTATTTTTTTATAAGGTTGAAGAGTCCGGCGAACATATCATATTAGGCACTGGTGAATTATACTTGGACTGCGTACTTCATGATCTAAGACGAATGTACGCGGAAATTGAACTTAAAGTTTCGGATCCGGTAGTTCGATTTTGTGAAACTGTCGTTGAAACCTCTGCATTGAAATGTTTTGCAGAAACACCAAATAAAAAGTATATTTCTTATACAAAATAATACTCTTGTGTTCGTTCACAACTCTAACAAGTCTCAAATAATTTTTTGATACGGCTAATAGGAATAAGTTAACAATGATTGCAGAGCCATTAGAGAAAGGCATCGCGGAAGATATCGAGTCAGGCAAAATTAACATTAAGATGCCGATGAAAGAAATTGCGAAAATTTTTGAAGAAAAATATAAGTGGGATATTTTGGCATCTCGCTCAATTTGGGCGTTTGGTCCAGATGAAAATGGACCCAATATACTCTCTGATGATACATTGCCTTCTGAAGTATGTCATTTATTATGAATATGTTGGAACGGAAATAAATTTATCATTATATAATGTTAAGGATTTCTTCATTGGCGCGTTTTAGGTAGATAAGAAACTTCTTGCATCAGTACGAGATTCTATAAGACAAGGATTTCAATGGGGTACACGTGAGGGTCCTCTATGTGATGAACGTAGGTTTCGTCCCTTATTTTTAGTTGATCTTAAATTATTTGATTCGAGTAATATGTGAAAATTTATTATTCTAGCGATACGGAACGTGAAGTTTCGCATCTTGGATGCAGTTATAGCAGCAGAACCAATCTATCGAGGAGGAGGGCAAATAATACCTACAGCAAGACGCGTTTGCTATTCGGCCTTTCTGACGGTAAATTGAAAGATTTTCATTCCAAAGCTATTAAGATCATTCTTAATGGAAAAATCCAACATTAAAACAGGCCACTCCAAGATTGATGGAACCTGTATATTACGTCGAGATACAAGCCCCGGCTGATTGTGTTTCAGCTGTATATACTGTATTAGCGCGTCGAAGGTATTTTTATTTTATATCGATCTTGATCATCGCACAGCTAGTTTCTAATAATCACTTTTTTTAGAGGTCATGTTACACAAGATATTCCGAAGGCTGGATCACCTTTGTATACCGTAAAAGCTTATATTCCGGTGATTGAGGCCAATGGATTTGAAACTGATCTAAGAACACATACTCAAGGTCAAGCATTTTGCCAACAAATGTTTGATCATTGGCAGGTAAGAGATAATATTTAGATATCAAAAAAATCCACGAGTAATTATTTTATTTTTTTTCGTTATTTTAGATTGTGCCTGGTGATCCGTTGGATCAAACCATTGTTTTAAGACCACTAGAACCGAGCCCTGCGCAACATTTAGCTAGAGATTTCATGGTGAAGACTAGACGACGCAAAGGACTCTCAGAAAATGTATCGATAAACAAGGTAATATATGCTTTAAATCACGTGCTGGGATTTATTTCAGTGTTCTAATACCTATTTTAATTCTCGTTTTGCAGTTTTTCGACGATCCGTAAGTTTTTTTATTGATCGTAGTCAGAAGTTTTCGGAAATTTTTTAGAACATCTAACATAATTTCTTATCCTGCAGGTTACTTCTGGCTGTTGCACAAACCGATGTGCTTGGTAGTGGATTTACTCTGTAACGCACTGACTAGATTATTCCAGATAATTGACAATTTTGATCAATGACTTATGCGGTTAGATAGATTTACATTGTTTTGTCACGTTTATTGGTATAGACTCATAAAATTATCAATTGATGAACCAATAGTGTTTGTACACGACATTTGCACATTCGCATGGAAAATCAAAAATAAAAAATAAAAAGAGATCAAATTCTTCGTAAAAAAAGTATGATTTTTATACTTAATTATTGAATTTTCTGAAGGTTAAAAACTGTCTAATAAAGTCAGTTCATATCTATCTTCGACAAAATGAAGTGCCACCCACGTCTTTTCGTTTTTCTTTTAGCCGCCGCTGTTGCCGTGGCAGCTGCTAAAGAATCACAAACAACTGATACACCAATAACCAATTCTCAAGGAGATAAAATAAGATTCAAGGTATTTAAACACCCCCCCCCCCCCCCTTTTTTTACGTTTCTTGAACAAACAACGGAGTATCTTCGCGTCATTTTGTCAAACTAGCTAAATCAGACGCTAGAATACGCTAATATTCATTGTGCTCCCAAACTAACTAAAAACTTCTTATGTACACCTTAGGCAACAACTATCAAAGCACCTTTCTTGGAGCAATTCACTTCCGACTGGTCGAAGCGCTGGTCACCGAGTGAAGCTACAAAAGAAACCAAAGACCGCGGTGAGCAATTTAGTTATGTTGGTAAATGGGCGGTTGAAGAACCCACAGTAATCCCGGGTATCGAAGGAGATACGGGTCTCGTAATGAAAACTGTAGCTGCTCATCATGCAATATCAGCTCCATTCGAGAATCCACTGGATAATACGAATAAGACGCTGGTGATACAGTGCGTATTTTTTTGATGTTATTATTAACAATTAACTATTAATTGATTATTTGTTGATTTTCGGTGTTATCTAATAAACAAAAGGTATGAAGTAAAACTTCAGAATGGATTGGAATGTGGTGGTGCTTACTTGAAACTGCTGACCGAATCAGAAAAGGGTATTCAAGCCGAAGAATTCTCGGATAAGACCCCCTATACGATTATGTTTGGTCCGGATCGATGTGGAACCACTAACAAGGTACACTTTATTTTCCGACATAAGAATCCGAAAACTGATGAATATGAAGAAAAGCATTTGACCGGTGCACCATCTGCTAAAGTGACAAAGCTCAGTACATTGTATACGTTGATAGTCAGGTAAGTATTCGTATTATTTGGCGAAATAAACTTCATTAAAATGATAACGAGATTAATCTATTTATTTTTTTAAGGCCTGATAATTCTTTCGATATCCGAATTAATAATGTTAGCGAGAAAAGCGGCAACTTATTAGAAGATTTCACGCCACCTGTTAATCCTGTTCAGGAGATCGATGATCCTAATGGTAATATAGACATTCAAGACTCTCTAATTTAAGTCTGCAGAAATCTACATATTAACAATGAAATCTTTATTTAAATATTTTAGACAAAAAACCAGATGATTGGGTTGACAATCCAAAAATTCCTGATCCAGGTATTTGAAAATCGATGCCGAAATTTGCAAGTGCTAAATAAATATAGAATAACATTTATTTATGCATATATAAGATGCAAAAAAACCTGATGACTGGGATGAGAATGCCCCACAAAATATCCCCGATGAAGATGCAGTCAAGCCTGACGATTGGTTAGAAGATGAACCAGAAAGTATTCCTGATCCGGATGCTAAAAAACCCGAAGATTGGGATGACGAAGAAGATGGAGATTGGGTTCCGCCCACAATTGATAATCCGAAGTGCGAGGATGTGTCTGGTTGCGGTCCTTGGAAACGTCCGATGAAACGTAATCCTGCTTATAAGGGTAAATGGTATCCACCTCAAATCGATAATCCAGCGTACAAAGGCCCATGGGCTCCTCGTAAAATCCCGAACCCAGATTATTTTGAAGATTTGAATCCTGCTAATTTTGAGAAAATTGTAAGTGATATTTTTTATACTCTATTCTAACTGTACATGATGCATATGATTTAATACGGGTTGATCATAAAAAATTCAGGCTGGTATTGGATTTGAACTTTGGACCATGCAAAACGAGATCCTCTTTGATAATATTTATATTGGTCATTCTGAGGAGGATGCAAAGAAATTCGCAGAAGAAACTTGGGCGGTTAAATATAAAATTGAAAAAGCTGTGGAGGATAAGGATTCCGCTAGTTCTGACGACTCTGATGTAAGTTTCAAGAATTCAGACATGATGTTGATTTACTATTTTATCGTTAACTATATATAATATTGTTTAATAGTCCCCACGTTCATTCTGGGAAGATCCTATCGGATTTGGTCAATATCACATCAATCAATTCCTTCTTTTACTCTTCGAAGATCCACTTGAAGCACTCAAAACACATCCGGAAACAGCTGGAGCTTTGGGCCTTGTTATTATTGTTCTCTTCTCGCTCATTGGATTATTGTTTAGTTTATTGACTCTCCCCAAGAAGGTATTCAGAAATTTCTTTTTTTTGGCTAACCCTACAACTATCACTCGTTAACTTTCTCGCATTAACATAATTTCTATTTATTTAATAGCCGGCTGCTCCTCACAAGAAGACCGATGAACCCACCCCTGATGATCCGGATGCTGATGCTGGGGAAACGAGCGCAACCAAAGATGAAGGCAATGAAGGCGACAACGAAGATGACGAAACAAAAAACAAAGCCAAAAAACGAACCCCAAAAGATAAATCATAAAGATTGTACAAACTAATTTAATCGGTGGTTATTATTTCTTATTCGTCAATATTTAAAGTGAACACTCCCTTAATCTTGTTCACCAAAAAATGGATATTTAATTGGTTTCATACAGTAACAATTATTTTTTTATGATTAATTAATAATTTATAATTGTTGGTTTTGGTATTGTTGTTAGTACTTGATGGAAATTAGGAGGATGGCAGAATTTGTGGGTTGGTGAGTCGATGCACCTACTCTAGATTTCCTGGTCGCAAATTATGAGTGTATGGCGCACCTTACCATTTAAAATTTAAATTTAATGATTTATTTTTAATGTAATAGTTTAATTAAAGCGTTTGCAGTTTGCCGCTTTTCAATTAATTAACACACAGAAATAATTTAATAAAAATTTCTGGTTGCTTTTCTCTTCAAATATGTTTATGAATACATCTTGATACATCATAAAATATTTTTTCATCAATCTAATATGAATCATTCTATAATTATCATTCAAGAAATGAGTGGAGAAAAAGAAAGTATAGTAGTATATTGGTGATATTGATAAAATTAAGATACTCTTCTAATAAATATTACAAAATTGTTTTTAACACCTTTATTCTTCCCTTCCCCCAAATATTTGATGTCTCAGACACTAATGAATAAAAAAAATAGTGACTATAACTAAATTAATTGTTCAAAATAAATTAAAATGCTCCAAAATTATTCATTCCATTCCAACCATGATTCGCATTTGTACCCAGCATCCCAGCATTAGTACTTCCATGCAAATTATTTGCGAGTGAAGCTGACGAATTAGATGATAATAATGATGATGGTGTTTGTTGGTGACTCATAAGAAACCCGGCGGAATTGACACCAACGCTATTATTAAATGAAGTTTGTTGAAAGTTTTGGGATGATAATGTATTTATATTAGTATTTTGCTGTAGTTGTGGTTGCATCATTAATAATGATGATGATTGATGTAATGGCTGTTGCTGCGTTTGCTGCTGCTGCTGTTGATGTATTCCAAAATAAGACGGTGCGGATTTTTGTGTTGGTGCACCAAATGATTGCGTGGATGATGTTAATCGACTTGAATTACCTAAGTTAAGATTACCAAATGAAGGTATTAACTCCGAAAATGGGGTTGTGCTGCCTGATCCTGATCCCATTATTGAATTGTTATTGGCAAAGGAAAGTGAATTTTGTTGTTGTATATTGGTGCTTCCTCCGCCCCCTCCTACTAGACCTAATTGCGGATTATTTTGTAATCCAATTGACTTTAAAAATAAATCTTGAATTAATAGGATTATTAATAATAAAAACCTAAAAAAAACTATCATCACTCACATTATGAATATTATTTATATTACTAGTGGAGGTGGGAGTCATGACACCCATTCCTAATCCTTGACTCAATCCGTTAAACCCTATAGAAGATGTCGCCGTCGTCGATGTTAGACTTGCAAAAGCATTATTATTATTATTGTTGTTGTTGATTTGTTGACCATTTGTGTTGAAATTGTTTTGTATTAATTGTTGCGTAGGTGTATTAATTCGATTCTGAGTTAATCCTGAATTTGTGCCGCCATTGAATTGTGACGATGTATTACTGGTGCCACTTAAGGCACTTGAAGTTGAAGAAATAGAATTTTGTCGTGAAATGGTGGCGTTATTATTATATAATGAAAGTATAGAGTTTTTGTCGAATCTGTTTTGATTTGTTAATTGTTGCTGCTGTAATTGCAATTGTTGTTGCTGCTGTAGTAATTGTTGCTGCTGTAATTGCAATTGCTGCTGCTGCTGCTGCTGTTGCTGTTGAATAGACAAACCTAAATAAAAAATTTATGAGAAAACTAATCACGGATTAAAAAAAATAAACTAATTTTAATTGATCAATACCAAAAGGATTATTTTGTCCAAATGAAGCTAAATTTGACGTCTGTTGAGACAGCAACGGATTTAAGGAAGAATTGGGCAATTGTTGCTGTGGTTGAGGTGGTGTCGCGGGCGTATCAATAAGCAATGAATTTCGTGATTGTTGGTTATTCGAAGTCAATGGTAATTTATGCTGTCGTCGTTGTGAATCAAGTTGCGCAGTCCCATTAAGGCTACTATTTGAGCTTGTGGATTTTGGACCCTGAATTGTATTAGAGACAGTAGCGGGAGATCCAGTTTCAGGTGGTTTTGATCGCTCGTCATTTAATATCGCGGCAGCAACTTCAACATTTCCACCAGTACGACGTAATGCATCACGATTTTTGGCTTCGTCATGAAATCCTAAATTCCATAATGCAGTAACCTTTTCCTCATCAGACATTGACGATGTTCGTCTTACTTGGGACAAAGGCTTTGCCGACACGCTATTTCCACTATTACCACCAGTCCCCCCACTACCACTACTAGGGGGTAATTTACACAAAATTTCAATCGCTGCATTAAGATCACCATTTGTAGTAGATAAAATCTCACGATTCCGAGCAGTATCAGTGAACCCCATGTCATGAAGTTGACGTAATGCACTCTCGAATCCGGATTTATTGGATGTGGTGGTATCTCCTTTGTCAGAGTATGTGACAATTGGCTCAGCACGTTTTACTGGCGAGATTACTGATGATGAGACTGACGATGCGCTGGACCGAGAACCATTGGCGCGATTTTTTGATTGTGGCGGCTTTTTTATATTTATATATGCATGTATGAATCAAAATTCAATTCTTCCTAAATTCTTTATTGTTTATAATAAAACATACCTTTGGATCCATGAATGCCTTTCTCTCATATTTATTTCGAATATATCGTTCCATTTCACTAAACAAGAAAATTATCACTTTAAATAACTAAACATAAAACCCCGGACACCTCTTTTCTTTTGATCTCTACCTATCGGAAGCATTCACAGGAACGGGATTCAATTCTGGCCGAGGATTCCATTTAGCATTCGCTTTCAAGTTACCCCATTGTTTCATATTCTAACAATAGCGTCAATTCAGAATTGATCTACCAACTAAATGAATACTAACAATTAATATAAGTAATATGCATGCATACCTCCACTTGATCAGGCGTCCAAGAATCCAACGATATAGATTTAACTTTGGAAATATGTGTTCCCATTTTACGATGTATACTTCCACACCGTATACACAGGAATATGCCGATACTATGCGATGCCCAACGAGGAGCTTTTCACAAAATTCAACATCACGATAACATTAAATTTCTGTAATATTTCCTTAATCCAATAATACATATATCATATAATAGAGTACCTTTAGCACCACAATCAGCACACACATCATTCCCAGGTTGTTTTGCCATTTCTAATAGTATCCTTTCATGTTTTTCATTTACAACTTTCTTTGCTCGATCCAAAGCCATAGTTATTTTCTTTGATATTATTTTCTTTATTTATTTTAAAATCGCAATAATTTGTAAAATGAGAATATTTTTTTGTCTTATATTTGACAATATTTAATAACCCGAAATATATCTATTTATATATCGAAGACCTGGAAAGAAAGTCAACAAGAGAGCAGTCGTAAAAGCGTTAGGTTTATAATCGAGTTAAACTATATTAAAATTAGTAACGTTAAATTGACAAATAATAACACGCATGTAGCAGTTGGAGCATGTACATATTGGTACTCAGGCATCTACTTTGTGGGCTGTGTTGTTTTGTTTTTTTCGATTTGTGTGCACGGTAACTCTGGACAAAAAATTCATTAGTGAAAATTTCAAAAATCCCCCACCATATAATTTATTAGGCAATTTTGGATATTATCCACTATATCCGTGAGTTTAATTAGTCTATAACGATAATGAGATTTACTGTGTATCTCGCGATACCTGTTATCGCCTATTTGGATCTGTTTACTTTAAATCACGAAAATATTTGTTTATGCTACATTTTGATTAAATAAATCATTACATATCGGAATTAATGAAAAAAAAATTGATGTTTACTCTTTATCACTTTGACATTCATTAATTACCTCTTTGAAGAACGCAAAACTAAACATTGGTCTTTAAATTAGCCCTTGCTTAATCAAGTTCGAGTTCAATGAACAATAATTACCAACTTCCCCTTGACTTTGCTTGGGACGGATCCTAGGAGTCGACACTTTTGCAGTCAATTCTTTTGCACAATATTTGTAGATTCATCTAGGACGCAACCAGAGGTTTAGGAATGAAGCAAATTGCCCGATGAATTATTCAATTAAACCTCCATGAATGAATTTAAAATTAACAAGAGAAAATTATATATATAATAAATTATTATTTTTATTTAGATTTTAATCTTTTAAAAGAGGAATAAACTTGGAGGACAACCGATTACAACAATAAAAATGGTGAATGGCAAGACGAGCATTCCAATCAAGTCCCTGATTATTGGTCGACTCCTATCCAATATCTCAGGATTGGCAGGTCGCAACAAAATACCAAGTATTTAGTTGTTAAATGCTCTGTTTTTTATTATTTTATCTTATCTAATCGAAAATACAACTATTGATGAGAATGCAAATTGGGCGAAGAAGAAAACGAGAACCAAAATAACAATGTCAAAAATGTTGAGGAAACGAGAAGCAGCAAAATTGAATTTAATAAGGCTCCAGCGGTACTAGCACGGAGGGCTAGGGGGACAATTGGGATCTTTGTAACCTCCCGAATAGACGGGTTTAGTAGAGGAGCAAAAATTTTGCAAATCAATCAAAATATAAACTCATACTAACCAATAAAAACAATATTATTCTGGATCTCAGATAAAAGAAAAGAAGGAAATGACAAAGAGGATGATGACAATATTACGATTTTAAATAAGCTGTCTGTCCTTTTTTCCTGAGTGAGACTTGAAAAAATTTATAAAGAACGAAGGGTGAATGTTATCCAGTGCATCGCCTAAAGGTTCTAGCAAAATCGCATGAAGGGCTGATTATGAATTATCTGTGTCAGCTGGCTACTTGTACACCAGATACTGTGGCGTTGTTCACTCATGTTCGAAATGTAAAAAAATAAATACAAGGGCACCACAGAAGTCGAAGAACATGAGGCACACATTATAGCTCAAAAAGATTACGCATAATATCTACAGGAGAACTATCTGAAAACAATTAAATAGTGCAGAACTTTGATCGCTGGTATCAACAAATGCATGCGTTCATTAATAGTCAGTTGGATCTCGACTCGAGCATTGGGTGATGTGATATTCTGGGTGGTTCAGGCAAAGAGTCATCTACCGTTAACACAAATTTGTTAAAGATTTCATCAATCCAAAATCAACCAGCTGTGAATGGACTATGAATTTTTTGGATTACTGAAAAAAAAAATGAAACAAAAGTAATTCATGAGTTTGATAGGCATCCTTACTTCCATCTTTGTTCCTTTTGTTTTCTACTTTTATTTTCATCTGATCTCTTACAACAACAGCAACAACAGGAACAGGAACAACAGCAACGAAGACAGCTACAAATAATCATAAAAGTTACCTCTGTTGAGTTTATAGGTTTTGAAAATTAAAAGGAATGAGTTAAAACTTCCTGCATCATAGTACCTTGGATCGTGGATGCAGCATGCAATCGATATACCATATGTCGATTCAAAGAGTTAAAATTGCTTGTTGATATGAATATCAACATGGAAATGCCTACGGATGACACTTCCCTTTAGAAAAATATCAGTTAGCCATAAATCCGACGCAGCCGAAGATGATGTAAATAATACGGATTTATGTCGGGATAAAAGAGAATGAAACTCATAACACAGCGAATGGAATGTCAAACTGCGCGCTTATCCACTACTAGAAACAATATTCAAAATCAGTTCAGGCCAAATAAAACTGATTCAACAGAAATCCCAACGATTTGATGTTGAGAGATAAAGTTAAGGTACTAAGCTTTGAGGATAACTTGTGGTTGATGAAGGTCAAACACCAAGAAGTCCGACGGCTACAACAATAGCAGTAAGTAATACAGCAACAGTTGATATTCTATTATCCTTGTAAATTTAAGGATTCTAGTGCGTTCGTCTCGCTAGACGTGGAGACGGATCGGATGTAAATAAGCCAAGACAAGAGGAAGATAGAATATGATAGAGAGAAACTAGATAGAGGCTGGTCTTGACAAAGAACTTTTAATCACGAGTCGAAAGACTGTTCATTCAATTGGCATCGTGACTCTAAGATACACGATGTCCGAAAAACTGACGAGGAATAAATATATATATATATATTATGTAAATTTGTCAATTGGCAAAATTCATTTAAAAAATTTAGTTGATTTGATCACTAATGAACGCAAATCTTCTCACTAGAGCAGCACGGCCTTATTGCTTCCGAATTGGTAACAGTTCATTCGTTATCGCGATGGTAACGACAATCGTGATGAATAGCAATTCGGGGCAGGTGAGATTTAACTTTGATGTGTCTTGTTTGGAGGAGGGTGCTGAGATCGATTTGCATCGATTTTATATGGAAAAATTTAAGGTAAGGTGCGGAAAGTAAATACAAGATTGCCTTAGTTAATTGTGAATATGATTGATATTTTCGCGAATATATAATTATTGAGTTTTTAAAAAATATAGGTCTGAATTTTTCTTCCGACATTTCAATAATAAAAAATATAGTGCTTTGTTTTTTAAAAAAACAATAATGCAATCCTTTTTTATTGATGAAATTATCCGTTTTTTCCAATGCACTACGTACAGTGCATATTTACATTTTTATTAGATAATACGATTGTATATCAGAAAAAGAAATGTAAAGAGAGTAAAAGGAATTAATTGATAATAAAAGAAAATTGTCTCTGAAATACTTTTTTAATATATATTTGGCGTGTTATCTCTAGCAGTTAAATCTATATTTCTCTTAATATATTATAAACATACCAAAATTTTTGAATTGTTAATTAAATTTACTAAACATCACCAACACAGCAGTCAAAAACACCACAAAACAACCGTTAATGGCAGCCACCGGGATGTTGTTAATAGCATCGCTAGTATTCAATATACTGCCAGTGTGTGAAACAGTGGGAAAACTAGTTGCAGAGGCTCCGAAAGTAGACGAGGGCGCGGTAGCATTGTATTTCTTTGGATCGGAAGCTGAGCAATTTCTCGCACAACCATTTGTACAATCATTATTTCCGGCCGGACAACTATTTCTACAAGCCGTTTCTTGCCCGGTGCATATAAAGTAGGGAATGGTTTGGGTATATTCTATTTATGATTTCGGAGAGAAATCAAATGATTAATGTTGATGAAAGTTGATAAACATAAACAACCATATAATCAATAATTAAATTACGTGATGAATTTGGAGCGAATCCGTTCATACAAAAACATTGATAGTCCAAGGTATCCGGATTGCACGTGTTTCTGGAGTCATCCACGTTATTACCAGAATCTTGACAAAGGTTTGTGCATGATGATGTTTGAAGTTGACACCAATTAGTTTTCTGATCTATAGAAATATTTGAGACTGTAATAACGTTGATGATGGTGATTAATAAACTTCAAGGATAATTATCTCGCATTTCACGTATTTCAAAGTGAATGAAAACACCTACTGTTAAAGTCGTCCGCGCTACTTGTAAAAATAAACGCAGTTGCTACCAAAGTTACAACAGCCAAGATAAAAAATGATTTAACCATTTTTAGTAGATTATTATTTTATTATTAATATATTGTTCAAATTAAGAGACGGAGTAAAGAAAGAGTTCTATTTATATTGCGTGGAAAGTGTATTATATTATATAGGCGAAATCTATCGATATATTATTTATATTTCTGTTTATATTATCACTTAAATATAACTTGTTGTTATATGGGAGTCGCGACGTCTGGGCTATTTATCAACTTTTACGGCCGGGTCATATGTTTAACCAGATGGTGTTTTTAATAGAAACTTCACAGAGAGAAATATCTATATTCTCCTAAAGATTTCACAAGAAATGGAGTGAAAAGACAAAAATCTCCAAATACTTGTGAGGATAGTAACCCTAGAGCGAGTGAGGAGAAAATAAAAAGAGAGGGGGGGAATAAATAAAGGGACGACTAATTATGCAAGTGGGATATTTGTGAAAATAAATATAATAAATATGGTGGTGTGTTTGAAAAAATTTGAATGTGTGGGAGCACAACATTAACTTTTTTCCTATTTTCGACTAATGTTAGCGAGAAAATCCAAAACCGTTCTTTAAAAAATGTCGTGGCTTTGAACCCACATTTGTGTATTATGCAATCTCGCCAAGAAGCTATTTTTAGTTTTGCGCTTTATATTTATATAGAGTAATACTGGCTGTATTTGGAAAGTTGCTAAATTGACATCATTATAATTATAATAATTTTCATAAAGTTACAATTGGTAAAGAATTTTTTTAATTTAGTATCAAAATAAAAAAAGAAAGAATGTGCGCGTAATTATCTCGATTCCTGATCACATGTTCTTTACAGACCAATAAGAATGGGCAAATTATTGATCAGCAAGAAAATGAATATCAAAAATCCACTATTAAAAAATATCGGTAAGACAATTTCACATATAACCGTTTTCCCCCAGTTCTAAACGTAATTATAACCCTAATGATAAAATCCTTTTAATAGTTGCCGGCTCACATATGATTGCGCATTCTTATTGGATAATCATGTGACAAGGAACCGAGCACAGATTATAAAGATTATAATTACGCATGATCATCGTCTAAGGCAAAATATTGATCTAAATGTCCTTTTGACAATAAAAGATATGCCTCCAATCATATCGGGTTTATTTCATACAACAATTTTATCACAATCATTAACATGGCTCACCAAATAATATTCCCAATTCACTCAAATATCGTTTGAACTTCTTCAAGAGACTTTCCTGCCGTTTCTGGGACGAATTTAAAAACAAAAATCCAGCCGAGGGTCATGATTAACGCGTACACCCAGAAAGTGCCTATACAAATATGGAAAATATGTTAGAGATCATCAGTACAAAAATTAGATTCCGTTTTCTTACCTGTCGTCGTTATCAACTCGGTTAACGGCAAAAAAGAAACGGCAACCACCAAGTTGCATATCCAATTTGTGGCTATAAATCGAATTAAAATTATAAGAAAGCCAATCAGATTTTCCTCCAAATATATGTTAACTTTCCTTTTACCTGTTGCAATTCCAGTTGCGCGTCCACGAATATTCAATGGAAACAATTCACTTTGAATTAACCATGGACAATGACCTAATCCTAAGGCATATGTAGCCTTTTTTTACAGCGTTAGAATATCGTATAAAATAACATTGTCATCATTAACTCACCACATAAAAAACCAAACTCATCAACGCTAAATAAGTGCCAAATTGACCCTCATCGGGACAAGTCCCATAGTTCTCTGATGTGGCAAGATGATGTGTAGGCGGTCTAGCAACACAAACTTTCTCTGGTAATTTGAACATGCATCGATGATCATTCAAGCATGGGCCACATCGACTTCCGTAATCAATACATTCATCTTGTCGACTCACGAACCCCGTAATGTAAATAAATGAAATTCCCAAGATTAATAGTCCAGCTATCATTCCGATCATGGTGTAAAGAAGAATTCGACGTCTTCCGACTTTGTCAATTATGTAGAGTGCTATGGCTTTTTGATGATTTTTTTTGTTATTTTTATCATTTCTGTTAAATTAACTATTATGTTTGATTTCATATTTGCCCACCGGTCATAAGAAAATTCGTTAAAGCAACTAAAACCGCAAAAATGGTGGCACTTTTAATTGTTGTGAATCCCGCCATTTTCATAATAGTACCCTATATCAAAAAAGTGTTAATCCCGTTTAATCCCCTTCCCCAATAAAATAAATGATCCTGCATACCGCATAATACATTGCCGTATCAAAGCCAGAGAGCTGTTGAATAGCCTGTAATCCACACGCGATAATCATCGGACGCGTATTTGGATATCGAAAGAGCTCAGCATAAGAGCTAGTTGTTACTTCAACAAGAGTGTCTTGGATTGCAGCAATTTCTTTGGAGGAGGTCGTGATTAAGTATTAGAAAACTAAATCATGACAAAGAGCTATAATAAAAATTACAAACCTTCATCTAGAAAAGTCTGTGGTGCATTTGGATATATCCTTCGTAATACATTTTTTGCTTGTTCTGGTTTCGCATTGCGTACTAAATATCGTGGACTTTCTGGGACAAATGCCATTCCTATGTTATTTTATATCAGGAAAAAAACAAATTAAAATAATTCCTGCAAATCCATCCAAATGTGAAAAATATGTATACATACCAAACAATTGGATAATAGCCGGAAAAGCCGAAACACCAACCTGGGAAAAATATTGGTAAATATAAATAAGTCAAGTGTTGAAAAATATATTAAAAGAATTACCATCCAACGCCATCCTTCCCCGGTTTCAATAAAAGCTATTCCAATTAAATAACTAGGCCAATTAAATCAATAATCAACGAATTTCTAGGGCTCGATTTGTAAATAATAAACCATGTTCTATTCAGCTACTCACGCAATAACCTGTCCACCGGTTATTAATAAGACATTAAGTGTAACTAGCTGTCCACGAAAATATCTCGGTGAAATTTCGCTAATATAAATTGGCACAACCATTGAAGCTAATCCTACACCAAGACCAACAACCACTCGCCCAACCACAAGAAAAGCGTAGTTGTGTGCAAATGCCATTATACAAGCACCACCAATAAAAATAAATGCTGCAATTATTGAAGTGATTCTTCGACCTATTGTATCAGACATTAAACCTAAAGATAGAATTAATGGTGAATTTAAATTATGGTAAAAAATTTCAATACTAAAGATACTTGGGCAAAATATGAAAATTTACCTGCCACTAATCCTCCGAAAAATGCACCGATTGTTGTTGCTAAAATTTTGATGAAATTATAGAAAAACCATAGTATTACAAATTAAATTATTTTCTAACATCAAAACACACCTCCAACCAGCATTCCCTTCTCAAAAGCAGTCATTGAGAAATCCTGTTCAATCAGTAACATAGCACTACTTATAACCCCTGTATCATATCTTTTTGATTAAAAAAATTAGATTCAAATCCAAACGTAAAAAAAATTATTTATCATACTACAAAAATACATTTACCCAAATAAAAATCCACCGATGGCGACAACAATTGCCGAAAAATAAACAAAAAACGTGACTTTTGCATTTTTTTCCACATCTTTTAAAAAGGAAGTATCATTTTGATTGGGGTCCGGTTCTTCTTGGCCAGTATTGTTGTCGGCACTTGAAGAACCCGGTTTTTTTGGTGGATAAACCACTCTGGTGTCATTTTCATCGATAAAATCATCGCCGTGATTCATAAGTCGTTTATATCGATATGATATTCCAGGCTATTATAATTTTTTTAAAGATTAGTAATTTGTGATACTAATGATATCATGAGTAAATTTATAATAATGCTTTGATTAATTTTATTCAAAGAAAAACTATTACAGGACACAATATATTAAATAATAATAACTTACATCAACTTGAGAACTATCAGTGCTAATATTACTCATTATATAATAATTTAGATAACGATTCTTTTATCTTTGGGATTGAAACTTAAAAGTTTTGATATTTGTCTAATCAATCGAGTTGTATAGCATTATCAGTAAGGTTAGTGTTAAATTACCTAATAAGGATATATCTTAAATTTTTTGCGTTGAGCATTTATTAGATAATTGTGTGCAAATATTTAATTATTGAAAAAATCTATATTGCTAAGTTCTATAATATATTTTTTAATATAATATTGATTACTGAACTGGATGCATTATAATATTATTAAGTTACTAGAAATTTATTATAAAAATATAATTAAATTGAAATTAAAGATATTTATCAGGTAATCTCTAAAAAAGATCTGAACCAATCAGATACATCAGATAAAGAAATAAATAAATCTTTATAAATTGAAAATCTGAATCTAAAATCAGATGCATCAGATATTTATATTTAGAATAATTTCATTAATTCATATTGAAATGATTATTAAAATAAAAATAATAATTATATTTGATAATATAATTTTTGAAAAAATTCTTAAATATATAATATAAAAGAAAATTTTATTATTAAACTAACTAAAATTAATTAAATTGATAAAAAAAATTAGAATATTATATTATAATAATATTATAATAATATTTATAATAAGATTAATTAATATTAAAAAAAATAGTTAATTATTATAAATAATAATATATAGATTTTTTTATATTATTATTTTTTTAATATAATTTATCTTTTATTAATTTTATATTTTAAATTATTATATAATAATAATAATTATATAAATATAATATAAAAAAATTTATAATAATATTAAAAAAATCTTTTTTAAAATAAAATATAATAATAAGAATATCTAATTATAAATTATAATTTATTAAGATTTATTAAAAAATTATTTAAAGATAAGTAATAATAGTATTTAATATATAATTAGCTAAAATATAATCTAATTCAAGAATATAATTTAATAATATAATAAATAATTTATTAATAAAATAAATATTATAAATTTTATTTTATAAAAAATATTTTTTAATATTTATTTAATAATTAAATAATAATTTATTCTTTTTTATTAGTTAAAATATATTAGAAAAATATCATTTATCACGTAATATCATTTAATTAATTAATTTATCTATTTATATATGATATAATAATATAAAATAAAATAATTAATATAATATAAATTTGCATGAATTAATATAATATGAATTTATATCAGTTAATATTAATATATTATAGTATAGAATTGGATTATATATCATAAAGATTCTAATTTATATGATATTAAATATAGAATCAGATCTTATAATTAATAAAATTAATAATATACAGATATATAGGATTAGTAAAGTTAATATATGCAATCAAGATGTAATAATATAAAGTCTTAAATTAATATATCATTAGAGAAGAGTCTAATATAAAGTATATTAAATAAATTTTAAATATATAAAAATGTACTAATAAGATATTAATTAATAAATCAAAACAAAAATAATTTATTAGTCTTGATAATATAGGATCATGATAAAAATAATAAAAGAAAATTTAATTATAAATAAGAAGAACTTTAAAGTAGAAGTAAGATAGAAATTATAATTAAGAAATAACTATCAAATAATTTACTATTATAATAAAGTTCTTATTAAATAAAATAAAGATTATTATTATTCTTAAATAAATGCATATATTTTTTTGAATTATTATTAATCTATCTTCATACTCTCTATAAATAAAGTAGTTTATCCTAAGATTATAAATACTAAATAATAAAATTATGATATCATAATTAATAAATTATCTTCTTAAATAAGAACTAGCATTATAACTTAAAGAATCTGATATTGATTGATAAAATTATAAATTAATTAATAAAAAACTAATTAGAAAATAACTTATAATCATACAATATTACAAATTACTTAGTAGATCCTTTATATTTATTCTATTAGATAACAATATGATATAAATTTATATCAATAATCTTTAATATTAGATATAGTTAGTAATATAAAGATTTGAACTTTTTTATAATATACAAAAAATATCATAGGTAAGTTATTTTTGTGTTATTTTTAAAATTGTTTCTATTATATGATATCATATGATCTATAATACTAATATATATAAATTTATATTAACTTTATTTGTTATGATTAGCACTTATTAATAAATAATATTATATAATACTACTCTTGAAAAATAAAGAATCATCATAAGTAAATTATAGAAAAATAATATCTGAAAATCTGCTAAAATCATAAAGATCATAGGTTATCTCAAATTCACTATTTATGATCTTGTTAAAAATCTTAAAGAAAATAGCAAAATTATACTTTGTTCTATGTTTGAAAGATCTCCTACTCTCTCTGTTCAAAATTATCATCATCTGAACTAATTTGTTCAAACTAATTGAGCAATTTCTACACTTAAAATGAAAAATAAACTTACCAAAATTAATTTAAATCTTAACATATCTACTCATACTATTTAACGCATTCTAAAAAAAAATCTTAAATATATTATTTATAGATTACAAAGCATTTCACTTTTCAAGCAAGATCATATTACTTCTCATTTTCAGTAGGATCAAAAACATATCAATGATAACTGGAATCAAATAATTTTTTCAGATGAAACCATACTTCAAATGTTTTGGAATACTTTATTAGTGTGATATCATTATAGAGATTAATATCTATATCAACTCATGGTAAAATATCCATATAAAGTTCATGCTTGGGGTGTATTTTCTTTACAGAAACTGATTGTATTATTTTTATTTACAAAAAATTTAAATTGTTATAAATACTGTGAAATTCTTGAATCTTATCTGTTTCCAAATACCTATAAAGCTGGTTTCAAATAGTATTTTCAATAGGATAACTCTCCTGTTCATACTGCTAGTGATACAAAAAATTTTCTTGAAGCATATCAAGTTCATGTGATTAATTAATCTACAAACTCTCCTGATTTGAATTCTATTGAGAATTTATAGATAATACTTAAATGAAAAGTTAAAAAAAAAGATTAATATTTATATAATTAAAAAAAAAATTTATCTATTAATAAATTTCAAGAAATAATTAGACAAGAATAGGATAATATTGATCCTGATATCTTTCTTAAGTTAGCAAAAAGCATAAAAAATTATATTAGTGAGCTAATTACTAATAATAGAGAGAAAATAAATTATTAGTAGCTATATAATTATATTCATTATGTATTTAGCTATATTCTAAAAAAAATTTATTATTAAAAAATAAGTAAATAAATTTTTTTATAAATATGAATAAATTTTTGAATTTTTATGTTACCAATTGTATATATCTTATGTATTTTAAACTTTAATAAAATATAAAGCTTTTTGATAAGCTCTAATTTTAATAAAAATTTCTTTTATAAAAAATCTATCAACTTATATTAAAAGTTTTTAAATACCTATATATATTATAAATAAGTAACACACTCTAATACTAATTTAAATTATCAAGAATTATTAAGAAAAGTATAAGTTATATGAAAATAAATCAAAAATCAAGATAAAATTATTATTTAGAAATAAATTAAAATATATTTTACTATCTTATCTTATATAATTCAATTCTATCAGAATCTTATAGTTTTAATATCTATTATAAATTTTTTTATATTAGTATCTATATTCAATGTAATAAAAACTTTCTTGCAAGTATCTAATAAGATAAATAATATTATTAAAAATATAATTAGATAAAATAATATTATTATCAAGATCAAAGAAATAAGTTAATAATTATATAAATATAAATGATTATATATATAAATATCTAATAATAATTTAAGACAAGTACTAATAATTAAAATTAAAAAAAAAAGAAAATTATTAATAAGAGCAAAATAAAACTAGAGAGACTCAAATATCATGCAGAAACTCAAGCAAGACTTAGAATGAAAAAGCAAAAAAGACTTGAAGAAAAAAGTATTATTAAAGAATATGATAAATCTAGATAATTATTAGCAATAATTTTACATTCAAATCTGTAAGATAATATTCATAATTATATTAAATTTAGAATTACTCATGTAAAAAGAAGAAAGATAATAATTAAAGTTTATATGATTAAATATCTACATGAAGTATTAGAAGAAAAAATATTTATTTCTCATATCAGTATTTATCTATATATTTGAAACTATAATATAAATATACTTTCACCATTCATTATTATTATTATCTTGTAAAAGTTGATCTTACATTAGTAACAAGAACTAATATAAAATAATATATAGATAAATATTGTAACCAATCATTTATTCATGTAACATAGTAGATATAACATAGCATATGATGCAGTCATAGCACATAATACAGTAATTACTGATCATTACTAAATTAGATAAATAAGTAATTTATATTAATTAATCTTATTTATAATTAATCCTATTTTTAACTTATATTATTACTCATATTTAGCTTTATTATTTTATTAAATTAGTCATGTGTGTCACACTTAATTTATAGTTTTATTAAATTAATAATTTCCTAATTAATTATTATTAATTTTCTTT